GCGTTGATTGCTGTAGCTTGGAGCTGGCCGTGCTTCAGTCGGAAGTGCAAGCGAGCTGGCTGAACCAGTGTCCTAAATTAGAACGGGACTGTGCATTGGTCCTAGGGAGGGAGTGGTCCGGAAGCTCACGCACTGAGAGTTCCTTATGCACTTTCCCCTGTATCCGTAGGAGTCTGAAAGTACAAGTGAAGCATGCGCTGCAACAGTAAGACACCTGGTAAGTAAACTACAAAAAGTGAAATAGCGCACAGAAGCTTGCACTGAGACTGTAGCTGGAGCTGGATGGGCATCTGTCAGAAGTGTACTGCGGCTGGTTGACCCCTGTATCCTAAATGAGATCGGAGTAGCGTTGTGACCCAACGCACTGTCCATTCGTGCGAAGCTCACCACTGGAACTCCACGTCTACTTCATCAGTATCAGTTTGACTCTGAAAGCAGGTTTAAAGGAGACGTTTTTATAGGGGGACTCGCCAACTGGGATGTGATTGCAAAGCGTGTATAGCGCACAGATGCTTGCGTTGATGCTGTAGCTGGAGCTGCGGTGCTTCAGTCGAAGTGCAGAGCGAGCTGGTCTGAACCAGTGTCCTAAATTAGAACGGGACTGGTGCATTTGGTCCAGGGAGGGAGTGGTCCGAAGCTCACGCAACTGAAGTTCCTTATGCACTTTCCCTGTATCCGTAGGAGTCTGAAAGTACAATTGAAGCATGCACTGCAACAGCAGTCCTCGCAAGTAAATTCTAAAGTGGATAGCGCACAGGAACTTGCACTGAGGCTGTCGTTGTAGCTGCATTGGTATCCGTTGGAAGTGCAGCTGCGCTGGTTGACCCTGTATCCTAAATGAGATAGGGAGTAGCGTCGTGACCTAACGCACTGTCCATGGATCGTGCGAAGCTCACCACTGGGAACTCCACGTCTACTTCATCAGTATCTGTTTGACTCTGAAAGCAGGTTTGAAGGAGACATTTTTATAGGGGACTCCCGACTGGGAGTTTAATTTGCAAACGTGTATAGCGCACAGATGCTTGCGTTGATGCTATAACTGTAGCTGCGGGTGCGCTGGTTGAGAGTGTGATCACGCTTGTTGAACCACTATCCTGAACAAGGGTGAGATTACAGCTGTGATCTGCCTAGCGGATTTATGTGAAGCTCACCGCTGGCAATTCCCTATGTAATTCGTCAGTACGACCAGGACTCTGAAAGTGCATGAGCAAGCGGCATGGCAGAGCTCTCAATTAAGTGTGCAAATTAAAACAATGGATGCGCACAGATGCTTGCGTAGATTCTGTAACAGCGGTTGCAGGTGCGCTCGCTGATGGTGATACCACGCTGGTTGAACCAGTGTCCTAAATGAGAACGAGAGTAGTGACGTAGTCTCTTGAAAGGAGCCGTGCAATGCTCACCACGGGAAATTCCACATCTACTTCATCGGTATCAGTAGGACTCTGGAAGCAAATGTAGAGGGAACGCTTAGGCAAAGAACTTTTCAGTTAGCATCTTAATAACAGAAATGGATAGCGCACGGATGCTTGCGTAGATGATGTAGCTATAGGTGCGGGGGTCGAAAGTGTGACCGGGCTGGTTGACGCAGTGTCCTAAATTACAACGAGAGTCCTGCCATTATCTCTCAGACGCAGTCGTGCAAAGCTACCCACCGGGAATTCCACATCCACTTCGCCGGTATCAGGGACGCTCTGAAACTGATTTTAGAAGTGAACGACTCCTGAAGGTAAAATGTGATAAATGCATCAGCTACGTCGAGACCAGCTACGTCGAGACAGAAGTTCGTTCTGGCGATGCACGCATTGTTCGGAGCTATCATTATTTGCGTCGAGTTACAGGACGAGACAGGGAGAAGGTGATGCGCTCCGAATAAGCGTCAAGTGCACGGGAAAAGTATATGCAGTCACAAAGGGAAGTAGCAGTTGACGCTAATCAACTTTCGTTAAGTATGGCTCCATCACGAGGGTTAAAAATCTGATACAGCACAGAATACCCTCTCCAGATACCCACGTGTATCATCTGTCTGTCTCATGCTCATACGAAATCAAGACTAAGGCATTCAAGAATTGTGATGTAGGCCGTGAAGGAGAAATGAAACGCAGATTTGCTCAATCGTTCTCACAAGGGATGTCATTCAAGTCATGGCCCGCTTTGGAAATGGTTTGTTGCATGTTGCAGCGGTCCATAAAAAGGTCACAAAAATGGGTCTCATTTTCGCTATTTGTTTCTGGGAAGGTTGCAAAAGTGTAAAGTATTTGACAAGAAAGGGCTATTCTGGCTATCTTGATGGGATTCGTTCTGCTACTAACTTCGAGCAGCATAGTTTATTAGGTCTTTATTAAAGCATCGAAAATAGTACGAAATAAACTCAAAATGAAAGTATCGTGCGTCTCGTCGTGCCATCCAGGATCCATCGAGCCATCCAGAATCCATCGAGCCATCCGCTGCGCCATCCGTTCCGCCGACAGGGAGCTTGAGGGGACCGCTGACAATAACATCATTGATTTGTCGCTGCAGGCCACGTGTGTTACTGATGATACTTACATTTTGACTTTATTTTGTGCTATTTTCGATGCTTTATAGAAGAGCACCTAATAAACTATGCATGCTCGAGGTTACGACCAGAACGGAGCCATTCAGATTAGTCAAAATAGCTCTTTCTTGCCATTTTTTCACTCCGTATTTTACATTTCCGAAAAGGCATAGCAAAAATGAAACCCATTTCTGTGATCCTTGTATGGACCCCTACAGCATGCAACAAACCATTCCAATAAGCGCGCCAGACTCAAATGACCTCCCTTGTCAGTTCGAGACATACCGTTGATGGTTTTTTGGGCAAATTGGAGAATACATGCGCGTTTCTAAGCACTGAAAAGTGCTTCTACGGCCATAGTTGCACACCGCCGCACGGTCCGCTCTCCGCGTCAGAAGTCGCTACTTGCTTTATGTGAAGCATCTTACGTCGTGGCCTTGACATCAGGTCCTTCCCCTTCTGTACTAGGCCCCTTCTGTTGCCCTCATGACCACTCTTATCAAAAGGCTTCAGTTGTCGAACATAGTCGGAGCTTCCCACTTAAACTGCACAAGTAGCGCGATCGTTTCACCGTGATGAAGTACTCATGCTAATAAGTAGATAAAGATATATAGAGTAAGAAGACCTCAGAAGCTACGAAAGAACTCTTCAAAAACGCGACGAAACTGCGAATGTGATGCTGGAAGAGATGCGGGGAAACAGACGTCGATGCTTTTTGTCCCATACTGTACTGCGCGCTCCCTCGAGAGTACACCCTCGTGCACCGGACGACAGCCGAAGTACAAGAAGCCCAGGTCGGAGCACGAGTCGCAGGATACAGTTGTTTTGATTGTGAGCATACGACCAGAAAGAGCTTCAAGAGAACCTTCCGGCAATTGCAAACGTAAGTGCGCAAACCAGCTCGGTTCATTTCCTCACGATCAGCTGGAACAAAGATCGCGTTGCACTGCTGCAATACGATCTTTGTTCCTTCCAGTCTTCTTTATAAATATAATGCCAGTCGAATACTGGCCCGAAATTAAGGGGAAAATGAAATGTCCCCTTTTAATGGCGAAAACTAGATGCCAGCACAATGTTTCAAAACTTGTTAAAAATAGCTTTCTTCTTCAACGCACATAGCATGCGTACAACAGAATAATATTATTCTTCTGTTGTGTCCCCGTATTAAAATGCTTGATAACTCGATTCGCTATACACGTGCGCTGGTTAAGATGGTCATGAACTGTGCTCTTCCTATGCAGCGCAGCGCTAAGAGTGCCTCAGATTATACCGCGGTACAGACTTTAAGACTAGTCATATGCCACTTAGCGTGCCTCAAAATAAAATGGTTACATTCACAGCATCGATTATAAAAAGCACTTGCAAGATATTTTTCACAACAGGTTGGGCTGACACCGTAGCCTAAAGTAGATGATTTCCGTCACTGTTTTTTACCAACAAAGCTCACCAGCGGCTCTTTGTTGCTCACGTATGATTCGCGGATACTATCGCTATTCTGAAAACCGACTTCAGAATGTGCCGACAGAGACGGAGAAATCTGACACGAATGCTGTCGGACAGGCAGTGCATCAGAAAGGTACATCCGTGCTTAATCACCGTGTGGTGTGATTTCGCTGATTGTACATCACAGTTCATAAGTGAACAATGAAATGAAGATGCTGTATGCTATTCACCATTTCAATGACTTTCATAGAGATGTATTTCAAAAATGAGAAGTGAAGGATTTAGTCGATGCTACGGACACGTCGCGCAGCAGTGAAGCATAAATGCAGTTTTAGCCCTGAGTGCCGGCTTTGCAGTCGGTAGTCCATAAAAAGAAATGTTAAAAATAATATAAAAAAATCACATGGGATTCCGCTAATGTTGGACCGAATGACGAGGTGTCTTGCGAGCCAGCATATCTTCTTGAACTCCCGTAGCCCTGAAGTTCTACATTTATCTCACGTATCATGTGTCATCTTTGTGTCTTTATCTCATAGCTGAGCATGGTTGGACCGGTATAGCATTAGCGTCTCGTAAGGGGCACAACTAGAAATGCGTGTGTCGTAGGAATGGATTCAAGTAGGAACGCTCGTCCCCAAAACTGTCATTACACAAATTAGGCACATGTGGAAGACTGCGAGTACAATACCGCTCATAATTTGTGGTCAATCGACGGTTTGCGACAGATTTTTCCGTCGCAAACCGTCGTTTTGCCATAAATTCTGTAAAAGTCCAAATAACCCAGCAGCTACTCGCTGATTGAGAAAAAAATTATTTCATACCCATACACTGCCTCGATTTGCGCGGACGGCCATATTTGGCACTTTATTCAAGCTCTTCTTCCACCGAGAAAAGTCTAGCTTCCTGTGCATATCCCTTAGGCGAGTGGCAACATGCTCCCACACTTTCATTTACTTCCACCCAGTCATTAGTGTTTCACGTTACTTTATCCATCTCTTCCCTAAGTTTTGCACACTAGTGTACACTATAAGTCTATCCTTCCTACTTCCGACTTCTGACTACAAACAGACGGTGGTGCTGTGGCGAAGGCTGTGAAGACAAACAGACATTTGCCTCTCTTGAAGCAGAATAACTCGACAGCAAGCTCTGACACTCACATGGACAAATGTGGTACAGCCTTAGAGTCTTGTCGAAGTCTTTCGTGAATAACAATCATACACAAAAATGTGCGCGTCAGAAATGCTCCAGAAGTCGAAAGACGTAGACAGACCCCGACCCGGTAGCTTCGTGCACGCATAAAGCAAGGTGTGATTGCACGCGCCAGAGAGGAAAGAAGTGCGACAAAAAGACTCTGTCCAGTGCGCAAAGTCACGCTTGCGCACGACATTTTGGGTCATAAAACGACAACATTTGACAGAAGCGACTCCACCGACCACGCGGGATTAACGCACGGATAAAAACATGAGAATTCGTCGAGGATGCACTAACCTTTGGCGGTATCTCCACTTCAACTTCGTCCTCGTATACTACTCTCTGAAAATTATATACATGCCAGGCGTAAAGAGGAACCTCTTATTGTCTAATTGAATGATTCTGTGAAATTGAAAAATACCGGCTTTGAAGGCTGTTCTGGAGCACGTTGGACCTCTCGAGCAGGAGGCGGTTTTTTCGGAGGGACCTAAGGAGAATGATGCTGACAGTCGCACAGCAATATGCACTTGGGACTATCTCGAGCCCAGCGTAATATGATGTGAATTTTGAAATTTAAGTAACTGTCTTGGCATCAGAGAACTAAACGCGCAAAACGCTAGGGATACTTAGCTGTAGCGCTCACCAGCGTATACTAGCGTCTCGACAGCTAGGGAAGTATAGATATTGATCGTCTGCAAGCGTCTGCCAACGTCTACCAGCGTCCACCAGCGTTCATCAGCGACCGGGAATAGAGAATGTGGAGACGTAGGATAGTAGCAAACAGCTGGATTAGGCATCGTGAAAGTGCCGCGTGTGTAACCGCGCCGTACAACACACTATACCGTACACTAATTTGCATAATCTTGAGCTTCAGTAGTTGTGCCGTGCGGTCGCACATTCTGCAATGTCATGACGCCTAATCCAGTTGTTTGCTAACCTCCTACTCTCCACGCTCTCAACTCCCGGTCGTTGGTGGACTGCGGTAGACGCTGGCAGACCCTAGACCGATACTTATGCTCCCCTGACCCTCGGGACATTGGTTTACGCTGACAGACGCTAGATTGACATCTATACTTTCCTACTCGCTGACGGCACCGGGTGCTCAGAAATCTAGTGGACGCTGGTAGACGCTGGTGGACGCTGCTGCAAGGTATGAACGTAGTCGTATGATTATTAATACAAACCCTAGATGGAATAGGAACATTAGGAACATAGCATACTTCGTGTTAAATTCGTTAGTGTTGCTATGCCTCTTGAGGTTTTTAGGTGGAATCTTTATTCGACGGCCTAACGTTTCGACAGGATCATCTTCTAGAGGGCCTAAACGTGTTTCGAGTTAAGGAGATGAACACTACCTCGTCAAGCGCCCAACCAACCCTGGCATTTCCGATGACGTGTTTGGAACTCTATAAGGATTTCTACACAAGACGAAATGTGCACTCACCAGAACTGCACCGTGAATCCGCCGTCACATGCGGCCTAGCGTCTGCTTACACGTATAAGGTTGAGGAAACGCACGTTTCACCGGCTACTATAACTTGCAGTACGGTATAAACGGCGAAAGTTCATTAGTTGCTGACGGACGCTCATCTCGGTTGTTCATCCTAGGATTTCTGCCGGAAATCCAGAACGCCTCCAGCGCCTATCTTGCCGAGATTTCCGTCTTCTGCGCTAATATTGTGCACTTAATTTCGAAGTTGTTGCCGTTGTGCTCCTCAGTACTATGCCTGCCCAGCGCTGTCGTGAACCTACGGCGCCTCATACCAGTGGGCTGTTCGTTAATTCGAACACCTATCGGTCTTCCTGTCTCTCCGATATATGTGGATCCACATGTCTGACATTCTATCTGGTAGATCACACCTAATTTTGTGCAGTCTCCCCATCTGCCATGTGGACAAATGACGCAACCTCTCGATATGCACTGTTGATAGTAGAGCCTGTTTCGAACTAGTTGCTGCTTGATGTTGCTGTTAGGGATGTTAACTAACTGGACAACATCTTGCAACTGTGCTCTAACAATACTCCGCTGTACTGCAGTGCTTATCGTATCGGAGATGAAAGGAAAACATAGCGGCGATTTGTCCAAGCGCGGCCCTTCTCGTATGTTGCTGCGCTGTCTACCAGGACGTTGTGGCACCGTATAACCGTTCATAGCAGCTGTCCCACATGCTAAGCGTCGTGATTCTTGACGCTCAGCCTCGCCTGTGCACATATTCGTTGCTGTTCTCAAGCTTTGGTTGTTAAGTACTGACACGTTTGACGGCTTGTGATGAGCTGACCGCTAGCGCTAGAGTAAGATTATTCTTTTAACTGGGTTTACGGTACCACTTCACGCTGGCAATGCTACTGGATACTTTTACTTGCGTGTTGAGATAAGGGAGTCAACCGTCGTGTAGAGTTTACACGGTGATGAGTCTGATCGACTGTTCTTTCGTTATTCGGAAACACTCGTCCATTTCGGACTGTGTTGACGTTGTGATGAAGCAGTCATCGATGTATCTACAGTACATTATTGGACGACGTTCTAGCACTGGTTCTCCGATCCTACCCATAAAGCAGACAGCCAGAATCGGTGCTAGTCGTTGACCCATGGCGAGGCCTCATACTTGCGAGAAGTATGTCACTGCCCATTTAAAAATGTTGCAGCCTAAGCATTCTTTCACCAACGTTATAATTTGCCCTTTACCGAGTCCAAATGTGTTTATGCTGCTAGCATGCCTATCAAGCATCTCTGACAAGGCCTGTAGAGCCTGCTCGTTTTGGACATTGGTGTAAAGAGAAACAACGTCGAATGATTCAATCACAGTGCTCCGTCCGAAGTCAGAGGACCGTAATATTTCAAGGAATTGCCTAGTGCTGGACAGGTGAGACGAAACCATGGTCAACAATTGACTCACGATGCTGTTCAGAAACCACGAAATTCTGTCGGTTGGTCCCCCTACAAATTTGATGATGGGACGTATTTTATATGTATCCGGTGATATCGAGAGCGTATCTTGAGAAGTGAGTTTGTGGGTCTTCATGAGACTGTAGAAAACCGGACATTTCGGATGATCTGCTTTTTAATCTACTGATGAGCTTGTCGTTAAGGCCAGCAGATTTTGCAACGCTCAACCACATATGATTCAGTTGGTTGCATTGTGCCAGAAATTCCCTCTCAGCTACGCGGCGATAAACAGAGGAATCGCTAAGATGGAGTTCGGTTACTGCTCGATCAAGAGAATGAGACATAACGACGAACTCCCCACCCTTGTCACTAATAGATATGCTCACGTTAGGTTTGTGTTCCTAAGCTGTCTGTTTTTGTCCAGAGCAGCTAGTACACCCGTCGATAGATTTCTGAACTGAACGTCGGCTTCGTGAACTGGCTGGGGTGCTCTGTAGAATGTACGCGGGAATGGTAAATTGGGCAATCTTGAATTAGGATTAGGAGTGCTATGTTCCTCGCTGTAACGCCGGATCTTATCCTGTCAGATCTCTCAGCCTGTGGAGACCTCCGAAAGCTTTACGAAAGGTAAGTGCACTGATATTTTGAGAATAAATGAACACCTCAGTGGTATGAGGCGCAGCAGGTCCACGACAGCGCTGGGCGGGCATAAAACTGAGGAGCATCCACTTTATGCGTATAAGGAGATGCTTTAGGTCTCATTCGCTACTGACTCACATCCGCATGTGACGGCGGATCCACAGTGGAGTTCTGGTGAGCGCACGTTTCGTAATGTGTAGGATTTCCTTGTAGGGTTCCAAACACGTCATCGGAACTGCTAGGGTTGATGGGCGCTTGACGAGGTAGTGTTCATCTCCTTGACTCGAAACACGTTTAACTCTGAAGAAGACGACCCTGTCGAAACGTTAGGCCGTTAAATAAAGATTCCACCTAAAAACCTCAAGAGGAATGCAATACTAACGAATTTAACAACGATGCCGAGGTAACAGCAAGAGAGAAGCTAGAGATAAGCATACTTCTTTCTCACTGAAACATCATCTCAGATTGATACTGAAACATACTATTTTGTCTAGCAGTTGAATTTTGCTGCCACTTTCCCTATCACACTCACTGCGGGCGGACAGGCATTGATTCCTACAGACAAACCGCTAAACCAAGATTATATTTTATAGGATAGTACCGGTTTTGGTGGCTCTTCTCTAGCTCGCTCCTGTATTTTATAGGATAGTATCGGTTTTGGTGGCTCTTCTCTAGCTCGCTCTTTTTCCCGAGTGATAGCTGGCTTTCTCCGAGCCTAAAAAATGTCGTTAACGAGTGTGGAACAGAATGTGGTAGACATAGCATCATGTAATTATCGTCCACCAGTTGTGTCATCAATAATACTCTGCAATGGGACGCAACAATACTCCATTTGCGCAGAGCGTGCAGAGCTGCGCAAATTTGATGACACATCTTTCAGCTCCCTTTAAAATAAAAAATTTTTGCAAGAACTTTGGATTCTTTTGAGCTTTGATTTTTTAGCAATAAATTTTTGGCGCCACCGTCTTCCCTGTGTTCCATGTTCAGGTATTACAATGAGTGCTCCCGGAACGGCACCATTATTAAGAATGAACTTCATTTTATTTGACTTTTGTTTCCACGTTTCGTCTCACCCGTACACATTCACCCCTCATGCTTGACCCTATTAGTAGTTATCGCTCCAGTCACCCACCCTCATCTCACCCTCTATATCAGCACTTGCTGAAATGTATGACTCGCTGATGCTGTGACCTACGCCGTGAATACGATGACCTCATCATTCTAAACGCCTTTTCGAATCTTATCAGCAGCTTGCAGTTCTTGTCGCCCAATCAATAATGTTCTGCCCACACCCTAACATCATATCCTGGATCAAGAGCTAGCTGATGCCGTCACCCGGGTCATGATATGTGACCTCCCTATTCTAACGCCTCTTATCGGATCTTATCAACTGATATCACTTCCTGTCACCCACCAATAATGTTCCCGTCACACCCCCCCCCTCCCCTCTTGAAATCAATGTCCTCACTGCTACTGGGAGCGTTATGAACTTCGTGACAAACAGAAGGACACACACACACATCCACACATAACCCACACACTTAGCGAATTATATATATAGTAGGATGACCGTTATGGCGACCCAAATCACCACGCTTCCTAGCAAATATAAGCGTAAACCAAGGGGTGCAGGATCCATTGAGGTATCCAACATTGCAATTCATGAATACAGCACCATATGAGCTAACCAATTCCGTTTCCACTGTGAAAGTCGCAAGGCGAAGTCAGGCTCGACCTGCGAAGCCGATCTTAAGAGAAGAGAAGGAGGAGAGCTCGGCGTCAGCGGGGCAATCTGACTGGTTTGTAATAATCGTACAAGAATGATGAAATAAAAAGAGGTGAACACCGAAGAAGCACCTTCAGCGGTATCTCCACATCGACTTCTTCCTCATCGACCTTCTTCTGAAAATTGTCTATTGTAGCCATATCACTGTTGAAATCTAACCTTCTAAATGCTCTAAAATGGGTCAAGACTCTAGGGTATAAGGCCATATAGGATGCCACCAGCAATGGAGATTGGCAGTTATGCGGAGATGCACTGTTAATACCAATTAGCGTTGATCATTCATTTACTGGTTGGCAACACATGAGATATTGCGGACGACCACGACTTGTTCTCTACTAAAACACCAAGGACCTGAAAAGGTGTCAGCCAGAATGTATAACGTGGGGTGAATAGCTGGGTTCCAGAATAATCCTGGCCAAGAACTATAATTTATTGACGTGTCATCTCCACCAATGGGAGTGCGCCTTGTCCTGTAGAGCAAAACAAGAGCCTTCCTGAATAAATTCAAGCAAGTCGCCAACCATTCTTTCAAGTTTATTAAGCTATGAGCTGTACTGCTGTACTACTGTCCATCTGAAACACTGAAATCTCACTAGAACACAGCGAACCTTTCTCTCTTGTTTGTTTCAGGATTGCAAGCAGCTTCCCTCTTTGAGGAAATGAAACTAAATCACAAGAAAAGAATTGAGTTCCACGTGAAGGACCCAGCACTCATAACCATTTACTAAGCTCACCAAGAAACCTTTGCACGTCCTACAATGGCGAGAAAACCCAGCCATGAATAATAGGAGACTTATCAGACTGAGCCAGCTCATGCGGTACCTATTACTAAGTATTTCCCTACACCCGAACCCAAGAGGCTCAATGGGTGCCGTATCTGTTGAGACTGAGACTAAGTAGGGGAGTGCTGCAGGAGACTGGCACAGTCAACGATGCCTCCACGCCAGAACCCAACCTCACTCAACATGACAGCGGCGCTGCTCATTGACTCTATCTTCTGACGTCACTCCGAGCAGAAGACGGCAAGGTTCTCGATGAACTTCGACTATAGTGAGTATGTAGAACTTTTTTGTGTAAGCTCTCGCAAATGTTGATTACAAAGTCTATGGCTCATTCGTACTGTTTCAGCGAAGCGGCCTCATCAGAGCTGGAAGGAACAAAGGTGATCTACGCGACAAACCCTCTTCAGTGCTAGGTCCGCAAGGCTGCTCCATTCAAGTCAATGAGAAAGAATCATTTACCGGTGATGTCAGTTCCGATCCTCGAGACGCAGTTGGAGGTTAGCTGTTGAACCAGGTGGGATTTTTCTTTCATTCGAGATACTTCTAGAATGGCCAGTCTTATAAAGGGTCTCAAGTCCTCTGACATGGATTAATGGAATGGCACCCTTTTCTCTGGTTCATTTTGTGGGATCAACAGTCTGGCAGTCTGGTCAAAATGCCTTTGAGGGCTTCCACGGAAGATTTGATGCCTCTCTACCTTGCGAATGGAGTTTACCTGTAAGTCGCGTTAATACTAGGCCTTATCTCGTGTCCTCGACTGTCTTTCCCCGCGTTTATCAAGACTACAAACGCTGTTTTTCCGCTTGTTGCAATTTCTTCTCATCCCTCAGAAAATTGTCCTTTTACGAGCCTAAAGATTACGCACTATATAACGTCATATTACAATACTTGTAAATCTGCGAGAGGAGCCAACGAGTGTTTAGAGCTTTTTTCCGCGCATGTAGGAGTCAACGTCTGACACTGGGTTCCATATGGGACCCTCACTTCCGTACAATCACCGAACTGCGGTGGCACGGCAGAACAAGTCGAATTTTTTATTGGTGGGACGCTGTGCGTGTGTTGCCTGACATATCCTGTGAGAG